TCAGTACACCTCGAACTTCACTATATGAGAACTCTTTCATTTGGAGAACTACGTTTACGTGGAAAAAACTTCCTAAGAACGTTTTTCCAAATGAATTCAATCTCCAGCGATATAAATCCAACGCGAATATACTTTCGCATAGGCACTGCTCTTAGAGCGTCTTAAGGATTTTCCTGTAGTGCTTGTGTTTTGACCTGAAAATATTATCTCATGATGACTTAACTGAGTTTGGATGAGATTCTACTACTTTACATGGCTGACGGGACTAAGACCATGATGTTCTTTAGGTGACTCGGAAATTTGACATAATCTATCCAGATCACGAGGCTACAATAGATGTCATTGACGTAGTGTCAAAAAAATCGTCGAATGTGATGTTGACGTACCAATTCAATTCAAATGCCTTTATTGGTCTATTTTCGTACATTGGGTCAGTTTCACACTTTCAAGTATCACAAGATTTATATTTCCATTTGATGAAATCATCGATTACGTCACCACGTCAAAGCCGACGACATCACCATTGATAAAGAATAATTAAAATCAACCTTTTTTTCAACCCTACTGTAAAAATGTATGTGGTTGATAATTGTTGATAAATTGAATGGAATAGTCACATTTTATCGATTAGCTAAAATTATGTTAAATATCCATTGTAATCTTATAGTAATATCCCAATATAAACAGTGTGAAGTTATCTACAACTAGAAATATGATAATATTGGTACCTGTCACGACCAGCGAGTTCTAACATAATAAATGGAATTTTGAAAAGTTTGCCAAATGGAATCCCGAAACAAAGTTATTTCTCGGCCGTCACAACGGAAGCGAATAATGAAATCATTATTCAGGCATACTTTTATGTAAAATCCCAGACATCACTTCCAGCTCCTGATGCTGGTAGAATTTTAGTTTCACGCATACCTACAAGAGAACTCCGATTTGTATAAATAACTTTTTTTTTTGGAATGACGATGAAAAATTTTGGAAGGAATTTGTAGATATATCATTTTAGATCACAATAAAATCTACAAGCTATTGTTTTAATATGTTTCTAATTTTTCAGTATTCATTGTATTGTAAGTGAGATAATAATAATAATAATAATAAATTGTTTATTGTTCGGCGGTAAAATAATTACAGAACTGTAAAACTTAACCTAAACAAGACAGCGAAACAAAAGAAGTATTGTTAGGTCAGTTAATCGATTTTCCACACTCCTCTAAAAAAAATTTAAATAATAAATCATTTATGAAAAATCTACCTACTTATAATAAGTTACGTACCCATAACCTATATAAATAATTAACACTTATATCACTAGTTAACAAATATTAACTATAGAGATATATTTTAAATACTAGGTTATATCATAGTGAAGTAAACTGTATTTCTATAATAATTTTGAATGGGCGCAGAATCCTTAATATTCTGATCGACATATTTTGTTGACGACTAAATATTTTACATTTTTATGGAATAATCTTGAAGACTGTGAATTCGCTAAAGCCGCACCGAAGCGAAAAAAATACAAATCTAAAATAATAATACTTAGAACTGCAGCACTCTTTTCTCGACTTCACCGACTTCTGAATTAGAACTGATGCTTTTTACGAAAAACAGGGCTATAGAAAATGACAAGTGAATTTTTCATACAGAACTTTACATTTGCAAACCGTACTATAACATTTTTTAGAAACTACCGTCAGTAAGGAATCACGTTATAGAAACTAATTTATTTATGTAATCAGTAATTTTAATAAGATATGTAAAATATGAATAATATCAAATTGTAATTGATATCAACAATAATTGCAAGAGGGCTATGAACAAACACATCTCAGTATTTCAAAGATCCCGTTACTGTCACCTCGTTTTGAATGTTGTGATAATTTTCCATAGTTTCCAATGAAATATTATGATCAATTAAATATTCATCAATCCACTATAGAAATTTGAAAGTAGACATGCTGTGGATTTTTGGAGAATGTCTGAAGAATGGATCATTTTTAAGTAGGAGATACTATCCTACTAAATTGTGGCTAGGTCAGTTCAGAAGAGCGCCGAATAGTCCAGGCATATTAGGGGTTTCACCTCGGAATTTGAAATAATGAGCTATAAACTTGTATCAACCTTTATTTTTACACCCTAAAACTTGTCTCAAAACATACTTATTATAGGGTGGCCGCGACTTAAGATATTCCAAGATCAAAAGTAAAAAAAAATCGATTTTCTGCAAATATGTCGTTTCCTATGAGTTTTATGCTATTTGTATTCATTATAAATATCGTAGATAATCAAATTCTCTACAACTTTTGTTTGAAAAATGTTTTTATATCTTGAACCATTTTCGATATAGAATTCAGAAGGCGCGCTGTGTTTAACTAGAGTATCATTCGAGGTCAACCAGTAGACCCGTTCAAAAACACGCCGTATAAAAGTCTATAAAATTGATAAACATATAATTCTGAATAATTTGCAATTTTCATTAACTATTACGTTATATTAAACTTTTTTTTTGATTAATTGAGTATCTATTCATTTAATAACACATTTTGTTTCTGCGTGCAGTACGTGGCTTCTGCGCCCTTTGAAAAAGGGAAACTTTTTTGAGAACACTCGAAAAACTTCCAAATTTGGATCAACTTTCTGCAGCATATTTCATAGTTTGATCAAAGAATGTACTTTTTCACGGCCGAAGATAATCGTGTGAAATCTATTTTCCGGTTTTTTTGACCGTGGTATACAAGTTTTTATGTCTGGCATTTCGTTTACACTGCGACACTTACCACATCGCCTTCGTTAATGTTTACTACAGTAGTAGATAAAACTTCAGGCATATAAACATGCAGGCCACGGCCAAAAAACCCGGAAAAGCTTTCATGAAATTTCATAGTTCATTAATTTATTATTTCAATTTTCGTCAAAATAAAAAAAAAAAAAAGTATGAAATTTAAATCAATGGTGAAAATTAAAAAAATCAATTGATATAAATAGCGATTCAAATAATGATTTTAATCTGTCCAAGTCTGTTAGCAAAAAGAAACACATTTCATGTAACTTTATTAATAGTTATGAAATAGAAGTAAACTTGTAGTGCTAGCACAAAATTATCCTTTGCGTACAAATATGTAAATTGAATCATTTGTTGAAAATGTCCACATGCTGTAAATATACATGCCTCTGTTTTTTATCACAGACTCACTTTTTTGAAAATGACGGGGCTGTTTCTACCAGTTTCAGCGGTTGATGAATTGGCTATATTTTAATTGGCCATAGATTGTCCCTCAAGGTCCAGAGACCTATGTGGCCATGCTTTTGTTCCTCTGATGCGGCCTTTACAGGGATTTTTTTAAATTTGCTCTGTATATTCGTGCGCCACAAAACTGGGCGTTTTTAAGATTCCTTTTATAGAAACTATCGTTTGCTGCAAAAAAACTAGTATGAATAGTCAATTAACATTCCTATTCTTGTGATAGAATATAAAATTTGCCGATATGTTTATAAAAATTGGAACTACGAGATAATCTTATTTCAAAAATTCAAATTGATAAACTCGTCCATCTATATATCAAAAGAGCCTTCTCTTGCATAAAAATTTACGAGAAATCGTTTTTATGTCATGTAGGTATTACCTATTTGGTGGTTGAAACATACTTGTATACAGTTTCTTTAAACGTGTTTGATAAATGTTTCTCGGGTGAATGTAAGAGGTTCTGACTTCCATTATATAAAAATGTTTAAATATATGAGAAGCGAAAATTAAAATAAAAAATAAATTGAATATTTCATTTCCTAAAAAGGTGTTAACATATTTGGACGGAGGAGAAGCATCTGCAGCATCTTTGTGAAGAAACTTGCACAAATGTCTGTCTGATATAATTCAATGTCCTTCGTGGCACTATCCGTCGAGGTAGTTATTTTTTGGCAGGCATTCGCCAGTAGAAACATTATTGCTTTAAACTTCACTGATTGAACTTATTGGTACCACTACTTCAGTTTATTCAAATGAATATTCACCAGGTCGAAAACTCGCGCTGAAACACACACATTTACTTCAATTGTTCAATGATATTTACATTTGGGAATAAATTGATACTAGGTGAAATATGTTTTTTATATTAAGATCTGTGAATTGAGGATCTGAACAAAATTTCGATTCTTGCACCATCTATCAACATGTGTAAAAAGTTGGGACTATCTCAATTCTCACGTCGAGATTTTATGACAAAACAAAAGCGATTAAGTTTAATCATTACAGTTTTTATGAATCTTGGTTAGAAGACAGTTTTATTTAAGATTGAGATGTTGCCAAGACTTCTTTTACATTATCAAGAGCTGGAGATACGTTTTTCTAGAGACGAGTTTTTTTGCGCCGTCGCGTCGTTGATGGTGATACGCTGAGCATTGTATGTCGACCAGTTCTTTCCAGTAATTGAATGGGATTGTTGTTCTAGAAGGCGCATCACGTCAGCGTGGATCGTTTTACGTCGATGTGATAGACCTAACTGCTTTTAGAGTACTCTATTACGTTATAAGGTGCGTGATTTGGTGGCATTTGAGTTTAGGATTTTTTTCTGGGGACCATTGTTCAAGTGTCATACAATTTTGCGAAACCGACAAAAATGAGATTTTATACCGAAAAGGGTCATCTTTCAATTGAGTTTCTACAGAACCATAGAGTTCAGAAACACTTTGAATAAATACCTGTTTTTAAATAAAGCTGGAATGGTATTGAAGAATGCTTTTCTAGGAAAACACTTTTACTCAACGTAATACATTTAACACACTTGCCAACGTCATTAAGACAAATCGGCTTTGCGCTGCGAAAAAACCCGTCCCTAGAAAAACTAGCGCTGTAGCGAATTGCGACAATCAGATGATTTTCTTTGAAATTTGAAAACAATAAACTTTTTGGATAGACTGCATGATGATCTTTCTACGAACCGATCAATACTTTACTAAATTTCAAACTAAAATATCTCTTTTTGTCGATTTAGATAACCACTGGGATTCATCATGCCGTCGGCACGGCTAGCGCTCCGAGAGGAGGATGTCGTCCGATTGGCTCTAGAATTCCTCCACAACAGAGAACTGAACATCTCTCAACTCAGCCTTGAACGCGAAACTGGCGTCATCAACGGCAATTATTCAGACGACGTTCTCTTTCTGAGACAGCTCATCCTCGACGGACAATGGGACGACGTTTTGGAGTTCATCCAGCCACTGGAAGCGCTGAAAGCATTCGACGTGAGGAAGTTCAGCTACACCATCTTGAAGCACAAGTATATCGAGTTGCTTTGCATTAAGTCGGAAGCGAATGTTCAAGGTTGGTTTTTCTTTATTGTCATTATTCTTGGGAGCCAATTTTTCAAATAATAATAATATAAGTCTATTCATGACATTTTATGATAATAATACATTACAATACAATACAATACTTTATTTTTCCTGAGACTTTTTTACAAGCATGGAAATCGTCACATACACAGCAAAGATTGGAGTTGAAAAATATCAAGTGATACACAAAAAAACTAAATCAATAGCAGATGTAGGAGATAATTATATAAAACGAAAAAAAACATAGTATAAACAGTAGAATAGTAAACAAGCAAACAATCGTGATGTCAAGCAGCCAGATCAGTTTGAAAATATTCATCAAGTGAATAAAAGACATTTTTGTAGAGAATATTTTAACGCTATTTTTGAAATTCATGGGATTTGAAATTTTCTTAATGAATTTTGGAAGTTCATTAAATATTTTTATAGACATAACATGAAGTCCGTTTGATACAGATGTTGATTTGTGTACAGGAACTATCAGATTATAATTTTGCCTGAGAGTATAACCAGCAGCTATACGGATAGTATCCCTTTGCTGAAACTCATGGTAATGATTCTTAATGTAAGTGACACAATTTAAAATATACATGAATATCACAGTTAAAATTTATAACTCAGTAAATAATTGCTTACAAGAATCATCATATTTATTAAAACACATGGTTCTTAGTATCTTTTTTTGAGCAATCAACAGATCATTCAATTTGCTGTAGTTACCGTAGCAGATTGAGCAATAATTTAGACTTGAGTAAACATAGGCATAGTAGTAGCTTAATAAAATATTAAATGGGGACAGAATTTCTGAGATTCCAAATAACGAAACAATGCTTGGATAATTTAATAGAAGTAGAGTCAATATGATCATTACAGGATAATTGGGAGTCGATGTTTAACCCTAAGAATTTGACTGATTTTTTCTGCACAATAGATTCAGTATTAGCTCTAACCAATATACCATTTCTCTAAGTGAGAAAACAATGGTATTAGATTTATTGCTATTCAGTACGAGGCCGTTTCTGGCGCAGTAATTAAGCATATTAGCAACTGCAATATAAGCCTGGTCAGATAATCCTTCACAAGAAGAAGAACTCAATGAGAAGGACTTGTCATCAGCAAACTATACAATACAATGTTGTCGATTAATTTTAGAGATGTCGTTGACGAATAAGAGAAAGAGAGAAGGACCCAGGACACTAGCTTGGGGAACACCTGTTAAGATGTTACGATTTTCAGAATGATATATTCCAGATTTGAGCCTAACCTTAACAGATAAGCCCTAATCCATTTTAGACTTTGGCCGCGGACTCCAGTATCATAAAGTTTTTCGAGGAGAAGTTGATAGTATCAAATGCACGTGACAAATCAAATAGAATACTGATCGATTTTTCGCCCTTTTCAAATTTGGATAATAAAACATGATTGACCAGAGAAAGAGTAGCATCTTGGGTGGATAAACCAGATTGGAATCCACATTGGCTCTTTGCGAATAGGTTCTACTTTTTACAGAAGGATACAAGTCTGTTGAGATAGGATTTTTCGAAAATTTTTGAAAATGAAGACAGCAATGCAATACCTCTGTAGTTGGAGATTAAGTGATTATCATTTTTCTTGTGAACAGGAACTACAACAGTATGTTTAAGACACGAGGGAAATGAACCCTTAAAGAAAGAGAGATTAAGTAGGTATGTAAGTGGTTCAATGATTAGTTCAGCAACATTCAATGATACTCTGCCTGGTAATTCATCAATGCCATATGCCACTAGAGTTCTTAGACGATATAGACTTGATGATATCAAGAAGTTCAGTTTCGTCTAAAGGATGAAGAAAAAAAGAGCTTGTTTTTATATCGTGATGATGTTTCATAAAAACAGGTGATGAAAATAGCGGTACAGTATATGGGACAAGCCATGCAAATTTGTTTTATTTAATTGCAAGTCAAAAATCTGTTGAGCTTTTGGGTTCTTGAAGAAGTAGTTGAGTGTTTTCAGATATGTTTTTTCAGGACAAAACACAAGCACTACAGGAAAATCCTTAAGACGTTGTATTTTAATCGCCAGAGAACAAATTCATTTGGAAAAACGTTCTCAGGTAGCTTATTCCACATTAATGTAGTTTTCCAAATGAAAGAGTTTTTGAACAGTGAAGTTCAGGGTGTACTGAGTTGAACCTCAAAACGTAGGACAGCCGTCGCGTATTTCTGATATGTACCGCTCTTGATGGAATCAAATGTGCCAAGTCTCTTGAACACCTCCCGTGAAAGTACCTATAGAAGAGAAACAAATCTCCAACCTTTTTCGATGTTCCAGACTATCAAGGTTGCAAGTGATGTTCGTGTCTCCAATCAGACGGATGGCTCTTTTCTGGATGGAATTCAGCAGCTTCAGGGCATGCTTAGAGGTGGAGCTCCATAAATGAGAAAAATACTCCAAAGAAGGTCTGATCTGAGCTTTATAAAGCATCAGAAGATTTTGTTTTGAAATATTTATTTTCTTAATGAAATATATAGAGCAAGATTCCGTATAGATCAGATCTTACTTATTTTATGAAAGCTTAAAGTTTCTAAGGGCATGGTCCCTTCATAAGTAGGAAACGATGGGCTATTATGAAATTTGGATCAACATAATGTTGGCAGGTAATAGTTAGCAAAGGTGCCAGATATCCTTGAATTTTAGTAAATTATAACTGTCAACGAGGTTCTGCCTTTCAACATGCGATTCATAGCACAGGAGTAGTTTGAAATTTCTAATGCTCTAATTCAATTACAAGAAATCATAAAAGGAATCATAAGAGAAATTATGTGAGTGATGGAAAACTTCCTCATAAGGGTTGCAAAATATATTACTTTTCATTAACATGACTTCTCTATAATTTTACAATAATAACAAATATAAGAATCATCCGAATATCAAGAAATTTCTCAATTTTCATATTGATCTGTCGTTATGAATATGTAAGTTATATTTATGAAACGTCCATATGGAATTCTAAAATTCTTCTCAGTAGAAATTGAAACCGAAACAACATAGAGCTGTTTGATGAATAAGTAAAAAAGCAATCAGAACAGTTGACCTATATAAGATGAAAGCAGCTTTTATCTTGCATTCATGCAGAGAGTGGCGTTCACCTAAAATCTCGGTATTCTATATTGTTGGCGCTTTTTTTATTTTCATATTCTTTGTCATGCCATGCAACAGAATGAATAGTAGAACAAACTTTTTTTATCTTGAATGTATGAAGATGACATGGAAAATGAATAACAACCTCCAAATGAAAATGTTAACTTGATACTGTCAATGTATATGTTGAGTCTTTAGACTTAATTATATAGTCTAGGCAGAAGTAATAATAAAAATGAATACTTTTATGTTCATCCATAAGAATAATTTTTCGCAAAAGTAAAATTGTGGTTCACAATATGCAACTCTTTCATCATCAAATATCAGCGGGTGTTTCAGAATTTGATAAAAAAATTATTTCTTGACAAATGCTAAAAATAGAGGATATTCATAAATTTATGTTAATTCGATACCTTTCCCCATATAATCATATTTTATATGACCTATCTATCATCCAAATTTAGGTTTTTGAGTTAATTGCTAAAGTAGGTACGATGCAATGAAAGATTAAAAATATGTAGTAACCACTAATGTTATACAGTCTAAGTGGCTAATATTCATATATGAGAAAAATATTCACTCATATATTCTTCCAAATAAATATATGGATCTCTAAGTGATAAATTATATTCCTGAAATGTGTAAGGACATTTTTCAATAAAAAATTTTAAGTTTATTGTCGGTATTCAACATTTCAGGTCCTTAATATGAAAATAATTTTAATACGTTCTAATGAACACACCTACAACAGGCAATGTTTCTAATTGATAAACTTGGGAAATCTTGCTATTTTTCTCAGGATCTATTTTCTTGTCATACACACCCTTGTTTCAAAACAAATACCGCTGGATATGAATTAGTCTAGTTAATAATATGATAAAATAGTCTGGTTCATCTCCTGATGATGCCAACTTTGTGGAGTGTTTTGGATTTATTCTACACCAGACCTGTAACAATCTTCTTGACCAACCTAGTTGGGGTTGTCTGAAGATGAATAATCCAGACTAGACTAATTATTAGTCTAGTCTGGTTTATTTGATAAAGCTAACTTTTTGAAGTGTTTGTTATTTATTATACACCAGAGGTTCCAATTCAATTTTTCAGTAGTAACTGTTCTGTAAGTTGTCAAAAGAACCAACACATCAAATTTGTACAAACTTTACAATTCCTTGAATATTAAAAAGCTACACAAGTCATGAATCTTCTATTTACTCATTCAGTTATGATGAAATCTGTCTGTCTCTGCTGAAATCTGTTTTTCCGTAAACTAGCTGTTGCCCCCCTACGAAGGAAAATTCTCAAAAGTCGAAACTTGTGCGAACTAAGGACTAACGATATGTTACTTTTTAACATGTGATTCCTAACACGTTACAAATTTCAAAAAGCCTGTCTTATTTATAAGATTGAATAATTATATGTTTCACACATAATTTTACAGACTTTCATTTTCCTTTCACATTAACAAATGTATGAATAAAATACCACCAGAGTTGAAAGAACTCTCGTGATCGACTTTTCAGACGGGTATCATCAGATTTCTTGATAGATAGTAAGTTCTATTTTAATTTTTTAAATTCTGTTCGTTTTTCCCACTCTTTTCTCCAGTTCGATCTGAGAATTATTAATTGAGCATTTACAATGTTTAAAAAAATAATTTATGTATGTTTCCTCGACTAATCTTTAATTTCAATTTGAACTGAGATTTATTAATTATTTATTTAGTGATAGCAGTGTTCATATTCCTTCTAACGTAGGTGCATTTAGAAGTAATCAATGTTTTTTTTGTGTTTGTTCTGATTTGTCATTTAGTAGTCTGTTTTGGGTTAGGTGGAAGAACAGATGGTAGTCTGCATCTTCCGTTACCGATTGCCATACTGAATCTCGCCCATTTATTTTTTTAGTTCACATGTACGAATATAACTGAAAATTAATAAAAGACCTTTATTATTATTATTATTATTATATATAACTCGTTACGCAAAGGATTAAGGTCTTCCAAATCTTCCAACACTGTGTTTCAAATTTTGCTACTATCATTTCTATTTCACTATAATATATGTATGGCATTTTCCATATTTAGAGAATTGCAGATGTCCAACGGTCTTTGAATATGATTACAAATTGTTTCTCGTTATGTAACCATTCATAGTTGAAAATTTTAGAGTTCTCATTTGTGTATTCATAAATTTTCCAGGTAGTGGCATGGACAATGCTGTGGAAGAAGTTGTCAAGGTCCTCAACGAATTGGAAAAATTTTCTCCTAGTAAAGAGGATTACTCAACTATGTGCTTACTACTCACACTTCCTCGATTATCGGACCATCTCCATTACAAAGACTGGAATCCAAGTAATGCACGAGTCCAGTGTTTTCGTGAAATTTATCCATTGGTGGAGGAGTTCCTGCCAGGAGATAGAAAACTCACTGACGAAAGCGTGAATTGTAGTGCTAAAAATGATAGACTGATTCAACTCTTAATCAAAGGTAATTTTTTTTTTGAGCATAAATGGTTGAGTTTTTTCATGAAAATAATGAAGACTTAGATGAAACCCATTATTAACATTTCATGGGGTTATCATAATTATTTTTAACAAACATTTCGACAAGTTTCCTCACGAGCTCTGACAACCATTTCTTGTTGTTCAGCAGCAGGAATACGAGGGGTACTATTTATATTTCGGGAATAACAAATAATAGCAAACATTTTTTTAATGAAAATGGTTTTACTGTTTTTCGAAATATTCTCCTTGACGATCAATACACTTTTACATTCGTTCAAACCAGTTCAAAGCAGTTTTTCCATTCCTTTTGAGACACCTCCAAAACATGATTTTTGAACGCCTCAACTGCTCAAGCGCTCATAAATCGTTGACCACGCAGTTTACCTTTGATATTCGGGAACAAGAAGGAGTCATTGTGTTCCAAATCAGGACTGTATGGAGTACGAGTACGACTGTACGAGTCATCGATTCGATGTTTTGACTGTTCATAAATTGACCTGTTTGACGTGAGGTGTGAGAGCTCGCATTGTCATGAAGGAGAATGATTCGTCTTCAGCGGTTAGTTTTACGAATTTCTCCGAAGACTTCTGGCAAAAAAAATGGTTTGTACCACTCGGAATTGACTGTTCTATGTTGCTCAAGCGGAACAGTGCCCATATGACCCACTCGGCCGAAGAAACAGGCGACCATTTGCTCGCTGTGCTTCTTCCACGAACATCTTTTGTTGGGTTTAGCTTGTCTTGGAATACCCACACGGGTCATACGCATATATCCATGATTCGTCACCTATCACGATTTTTACATGTCTTTTGAAGCACCATGGTCGAACTTTTTAATCATTTCCTTACACCACTTGACGCGAGCCTTTTTTTGAGCAATTGCTAAATTATGGAGTATCCAATGAGAACAAATTTTTTTCACAACTAAGTGTTCTGAGAGTGAAAGAGAGTCAGTTATTAACCGACTGGAAAATAGCTGCTGTGAAATCCTCTAGGAACAGAAGGATTTACTTAAATGGAAAAAAGTAAATGTTGAAATGAATATAATGACGAAATAAAGTTATGACAGTCTTCATATGGTTCAGCACAGTTTAACAATCATAAAATTGTACTACTAAGATGAAAATGTTAAAACTAATTCAAATTTTGAACATACTTAGGCGCCAATGAAAGCAGATTTGTGGTAAGAAAGTTTCAGAATAAAAGACGATAAATGTTTTGTAGACGTTACCAGCAGTAAACTCGTATCTCACTTTTACTGTGCAAGGCAACCGACAAGAGAAAGTGTAATAAATCTTTATAATAATAATAATAGTATTTATTCAGTTGGATCATCTATAAATGACATTGAGTATGTCAAAACGTGTACAAATACAAAATTAAAAATAAAAACTCTGTGCACTTAGAGGCACAATATACAATTTACATAGAAAATATAATATATAATAGTCAAAACCTAAAGTAATCGGCTATTTATGCAACAGTATCGTTATTAAGATCGGACTAAAACGTTGGACATGTACATAATATATAATAGTCAAAACCAAAAATAATCTGTCATTTATGTAACAGCATCATTATTAAAATCTTCCTAAAATGTTACACATGTATAGGGACACAAATTATCATCCATATATTCTTTGAGAGAATAATAGAATTTATCCAGGAGCGACTCTTTGATTTGACATTTATACTGGTTTAGAGCCAGATTTTTATTGTACTTGAAAGTTTATTGTACATTTTAATAGCCATAAGTCTGGGACATGATTCAACAGCAGCTGAGATTGACCTAAACCTGATGCTTTAGGGCACGCACATCCAAAGATATGGATACAAAACAAAAAAAATTGAATGCCTGCCTTCAGTGAATGAAATTATAATGTACTGTATTTGAACTATTGGGTATATGACCACATGATATATCAGATGAAACAATTAATTTAGTTATAATCGGGAAAATGAGAAGTATATTATTTTTCTTATGAAAAAAAGTTAATAGTATAGTTAACTTTATAGAGGTTGTTTACAATGAGTGAGATATGGTACATAATTACTTTTCTATGCCATCTATGCGAATGCATTGATGGATTCAACTGTCCTCAAAAGATAAGTCTGAGTAAGTAGAAACGATGACATCTCCCATCTTCGCCTCTACTATTTTATTGTAATGTGAAAGGGGTTGTCTTTACCCAAAACCATTTAGGGAGTATGTCTTCAATAACCAACGACCACTCCCTTCACTATGGGGTAAATGATCATCAAACTTGAGAGTCATGTGCCCTGAGAAAATGCAAGAGCCGAGAGTGACTTTTGCTTTAGAGTGGACAAGATTTCTGAGGTATCGCAGAAAAACGGTATGAGTCAGAGTCAGACTTAGAAATGCTTTATTGTCATAAAAATTTAGGTTTTGTTGACAAAGCAGGCTTAAGAACAATCTGAAACATTGAAATATAACAAGATATTAATATGGCTCAAGCACACTTCAAAAAGTTTATGGTAAAAGTCTGTGATAAACATTTTATCAATTATAAGTTGCGAAGTCATCTGAAAGAAATTCCTCAATACTATAATAAGCTTTATCTAGCAGAAGCTTTTTTTTACTCTTTCGTAGCAGGTTAACTTTCTGATTGAAAGGGGGAGATGATTGAAATATTTTTTGCTTTTATAAAGAATCGAGTTTTTAATTTGTGCTGTTGATGGGATAGGAATAGGACTATTGAATGTGAGATGAGTGGCATAACATTGAGTTGAGTTTGAGATGTTATCTTTGTGCTTTTTGTGTATTAGGCAGACTGTTTCTAAAATAAAGAGGCAGTAGACTGTTAAGATGTGATGAGTTAAAAAAAGGGGCTTAGAGGAATCTTGGATTCTAGCTCTGGTAATGAATGTCACTGCTCTTTTTTGAATTGTGAAAACTTGACTCATTAAGTTTGACAGCTGCTCCCCCAGAAACAAACTCCGTTCGCAAGTGGGATTCGAAAAGTGCAAAGTATGCTTTTCTAGCAGAGTGATAGTCCAAAGAGTTAGAGATAGACCTTATCGCATAACAACTTGAGGATAATTTTTTGCGTAGTATACTAATATGTGTTCCAAATTTAAATTTAATTTGTTATATTTGTTGAGGCTTAAAAATTTGTCCTCTAGTTTATGATCAATGATGTGCTCTTCAAGAATTATATTCCAGGTTACATTTAAAGGACATTATATTATTCTTTGATATATTGAAAGATAATGAATTGGCATCACACCATTGTTTAACTTTGCCTATATCATGCTCTACCCTAATTTTTAGTGCATCAGTGCTTCTTTCATGCTAAAGTATAGACGTGTCGTCAGCAACTTGTGAATATGCCTTCAATCAATATATATGCCAGATCACTTATATGTTATAAAAACAGTAAAGGGCCGAGGATAAATCCCTGAGGTACTCCGCATTTAATGCTCATTTTATCTGAAGATGAACTTTTGAAATTCACTACTTGAACGCGATCTGATAGATATGACTCAAACCACAACAAGATGTTTCCTCTAAATCCGTAGATTTAAAATTTTTGAAGCAATATTTTGCAATCAATACAGTCGAATGCTTTTGTCAGATCACAAAATACTGCCACGGCAGCCTCACCAACATTCAGTTGAAGGTAAAGTTCTTTAAAAAAGCAAACATTGCATCATTTGTGATGCATGATCTCACAATATTCGTAATACCTTGTTATGTATATTGGCTGAGATTTTATATGCTGGAAATGATTACATAATGTTTAATTGTTATTATTTTCAATCTTGGATGTTACTCTTCAAGTTGATGAAATTTCCTATTCTTATAGTGTAAAGTTAACTAAGTAATATTCTTGTAATTTCAGGCATTTTGTATGAATCTTGTGTAAATTATTGTCAAGCCAAAGCCACAGGAACTACTGAAAAAGAATCTCAAGAAATGAGCTTCAGTAAATTATTGGATAATAGTGCAGGGTTCAGTGATTCGGACCTAAGTTTACTCTCTTGGCTCCAGAGTGTGCCACCTGAAACATTTTCAGTGCCTTTCGAACAGCGTACCCTCAATGTAGATATGGAGCGTTTGGAGAGGCCGAGTTTAGAAACATCTTGGACTGAACACATGTTAGTTACTCCGATTAAGCCAAAAACATTTCCCCACTCAGCAATGCCGTTTACAAGGCCTCGTTCAGCAGCTGATATTATGTCAAGATCTCTGATGCCAGTTTTGGATGGTTCAGCATATGGTTTAGCGCAAGGAGGGTCTGCCCAATATAATGGGAATACTAGAGCCATGGCACTTAGTACTGGAGATATAGTTACCAACGGACCAATGTCAAGGAGTAGCTTTGCCAGTTTCCATTTGACAGGTAATATATACGAATAAATGACAGTTTTACATCAACCTATTCAATATTGAAGACTGTTCATAGTAGTCGTACATAAATAATTATTATTGAAAACAGTTTTCCCAAACCAGAAAAATAATACTGTCTCTTAACGTGGTTTTGCTTGGTTTTGGTTTTGCTTGGTTTTGCTAACCAAGTTAACATCATCAGAAGATAACTAAGAATAAATTATACGGCTATGTTAATGTTTTTATATGCATACCCCACATAATGATTTGTCTAGAGGAATATAAAAACATTAAATTGCTGTAGAACTAAGTCTCAGTCATCTTCTGATGATGCTAACTTGGTTGGCGAAATGCACAACGAGAAAGAAGTTTAGTTCTGGTATGGAAAAAGTGTTATCAATAGGTTGATTAAAGTTGTCGTCCGCTATTTCAAACACTGAATATATGTAATGAATTCATTTATTAATGTTTACTTTCTGCTAAAAGAAACATTACCAGTTATGTGGCTTGAAACAAATATGATACCAGATATAGCGCCGGACTTACGATAATACAAGAATCTCAACTCTCAGATTCAAATATTACAATTCGAGCCCAAAAAGTTGGAAGGAAATAAACCTCATTAAAGTGTTTGGTGAGAAAATATATTTCAAATATTTCTTCAGTGGAACACTTCTCAATGACGGTACAGTGTTATAGTGAATTTTTCCACGTATATTATATCAGTTGACCACAAAATCATTGTACACGGCATCATTCATTTGTTTCTGAAAAACGTATAATTAAAACGAAATAGGTTTTTATTTGTTTTAATTGAAACAATTGAATGGCATATCATTATTTTGTTGTCACCTGGTATGTATTCCTCAAACATTTCATTAGAATGTACGTGTTGATTTCAGAGCTATACTAACCAGCCTTTGTCATCCGTGTGTATAACATAAAAATATGTTATCTCATTTAGACCATTTATTATTCATGGTTTTAATGTTTTATATACATGTTTTCATTTTAGTATTTGAAATAATTCAAAATATGTTTCTGAAGGTACACTAAACTTTTTGTCTGTCTATTTTCGATGACTATACAATTTTGAAATTGTCACACAAGAGAATGAACTTTACTCTCTTTCATTTTTATTGAATTCATTGTTATTGAATAGCACTCGGGAATTGCCTCATTTATACGAATAACTAAAATCAGTTACAACCAATTTTGACCATTGCCCTAGTATAAGAACAAGAATAAAGTATTCATCTGTTTTGATTCAAAAAAACTCTCATACAAGTTCGAACTTATTTGAGTAATACAGTGATTTCTTGAATTTTCCATTCATATTTATTTTGATTTTTCAGGTATCAAAACCAACAAGTCTATGAATACATCTGTAGACAGATTATTTGAAAATGAAGGGGAAGTATTTCTTAGCAACAGCTACGCAGAGTTTCAACAACTACCCTCGATACAAGAACAGACGACTAGTACACCGAAGGTGCATTCAAATACATTACCGAATATCTCAAAAAGTCCCGATCGTAAAGTCTCGAATGCCTCAACGCCGGAACATAGGGGCAGAGATAGTCCATCTTCCTTGGGAACAGCTAGGTACAGTACATCAAAACTGATTTTATTTTTTTGTTAACTGTAGTTGTCACCGGATCTAGTGCGATAATTACGCAGAGTAACGTATTTGTCTATCTGTTGAAATCTGTTTTTCTGCTAACCAGCTGTCACTCTCCTATGAACGACAACTCTCAGAAGTCAAAACTTGTGCTAGTTACGAATTAACGAGGTATCACCTTTTGACGTGCGATTCCTAGCACATGTTTGACAAAACACTCAACAAACACGCCACTATTATAGTGAACGCATTCTTTGCTTGCACTATTTCATTCAATACTTCATGCAATCCTTTGCCGGGATCATGGAACTAGGAATCCTAATTGTTTCATCTACGAAGGTCTTAAATATCTTAAGAGGAATCTCAGCACATATGATGAAGAATCCATTATTTGATCACATAAAACCAAAATGATCATGTACTAAATAGCCAGTTGAAAAAAATCATGAAAATTATAGTCTAGTATTTTTTAATATGAACCCTTCATCTGTTTGCTGCATCCCCACTTAGACGTTCTTACAATTTCTTACTGACAATTTCTCTTTTGTTCAAAGAGAGGCATACCTATACTTCTTTTTGTGGTTCCAATGTAGACTGACCCGTAGCTATAAGAAATCCGGTATACCAAGGAAATCTTTAGCTGACCACAGCTTCAAATTTTAAATATGAAAACAAGAAACATTGATTCCTCCACAAAAAAGTCTTTCAAATAATGGTTCTAAATGTCGATCAGTGTGATAATACAGAGCAATATACGGAGATAGAGGTATTTGATTTATATTGTCTATGACCTTAAATCTGCGTGTCGCTTCTACGGTAAGAAACACAAAATGATTCGAGTGAAAACTGAAAACATTGACACAACATTTGTTTAATAGAACTCCAATAGTCCAGACAAAGTTCACACTGGCTGAGTCGAAGATTGGTTTAGTATAAATTATCATTATATAAGTAGATGACAGATTTTAACATTTAATACAAATATTACAATAACTAAACGAATTGTATTCGTTTGAAAATGTTCTTATAGAACGAAACTGCAGTAACGTTAGTAACAAATACAAATGGTTAAAAAACAGAAAGTTTTATTTATCATTTTTCATGATATGTACAGAGAGTATTTACACAACTCATTGTTGCAACTATGAATTTTCTTACTGATAAACAACTGAGGAATTTGGTGACTGGCTGACAAACTCCCTGTTGCATCTTTGGGACTATTATTTGACACGGAAGTTTTAGAATTTCAACAGAACTTCATTTTGACTCGTGACCTCAATTTTAAATTTATTGCAGAAGGCTTTTCTCAACATTATGCAGTAAATGACCTAATTAAACGTGCATTGTCAACTTTTAATGAGATTAAGCTATTACTAGTTAACAAATCTTTCTCTCAAACGAAGGTTTCATATATGTAGGTGCATGTTTGAAGTCAGTCGAGTACCAGGTAGAGTGCTATTCGGGTCGGATCTTTCCTGCACTGACAAGGGGTAATACCCCGAAACTGGTCTGTCTGATTTTCTCAATTGTTTTCAGCATTGTCTTGCTGCTGGACGGACCAGAAGCAACTGCAGAACTATTCTCTTATGAATGTCTCAGATATAATTCATTAAAGAAAAAACCATTCAATGTCAGATTTCCACTTGAAAGCTTATAAAACCGCGACACGTGTTTCACTATACACTAGCATCTTTGTGTGTCACAATACGTTAATAATGGATTTTCGGCAGATATCAGTCAGTTTTATTACAGAAGTGAATTAAATAAAATTAAAATAAACATTAATGATTTCTTGCAAAGGCAGAGATGCTGATTTGATTTCCACATAGAACATACGAGCAGCTTCCTACATGCAATATATTTTTTTTTGAACAAAAAGTACTCTGCACCATTTCTTGTTCAAAATAGAATATTCCGAATCTATTGAAAACACTTTCCCCCAACACCAGAACAAAATTACGGTCTCTCGACGCGCTTTTCTCTAACCAAGTTAGCGTCCTCAGGAGATCATTATGACTGGCTAAAAAATAACTTTTTCATATGATCATCCACTTCTCAAGTTATGAATAATATATACAAAATGACCAAGATAAAGAGGATCAGTATGTAAAAATAGGGAATCATAAGAGAAATAAAGTCGATCAAATTAGGAGAAAGAGCGTTTTAGATATTCAAATGACATTCTTAGGTTCCAGTACGAACTATCAAGAATATTCCGAAATGAAATGATTCGAGATAATTTTCTGTGATACAGAAGTAACTACAAAAATAATTTTCATAATTTTCAGATGAATCTGAATCAGTGTACACCTGCTTTATCTCTTGTATATTCCTCAAGTTATACTTATCCCTAACAATTTGGGTCGAAAATTCATGTCGTCTAAAACAACTTTAATATTGCTAAATGCTTAGACCTTTCATTCTCTAATTATCTAATGACTAAACGACTTTTGCTGAAAAATGTTATTTTGAATCTTGATCTGCATGGGTGCTTAGAATTTATTTTTGATGCATTATAAAGAGTTGAAGTATATGTTTGTTTCAGATCTTCTAGAAGGGATTCTTTGAACGAAAGGCCAATTACTCATCAAAACACTTCAACAGAACCCACTCTAGTATTTGACCAAAGTTTTTCTGGGGAACTGGTTAAAGAGTTTCAAAAAACTAAACAAAAAATGCAAGAGGCATTGGCAATGCGTGAAAGAGAAAGGGAGGAGATGCTCAAACAATTGAATAATGAGAACAAATATGCAGGAGAGTGGTGAGTATGGTATATCCTTTTGCACTATTGGCGTTAATATTCCTTGAATGTAGGAGTAACTAAATATCAAAGTGTGATACATGCTAGTATTGAAAAATTGATTGCTATCACCAAAAGTATGCATTTCTTACAAATTTATGCTCACTATCGGAGTAGATTCAATTGTAACCTTTTATGAACATATCGGAAATATTTAAAACAAAATCAACATCTATCCAGAGTAGTTCTGGAGATATAAATGAATAAAAATGTTCAGTACATATTACCATCTATTATATATTTCAAAATATATTTCGACAATAGCATGTTTAACATGTTTGCTGCATATTTTTCAAGCACAGCAAAGAAAAATATACAAGTGACGTGCTCACTGAAAGAAACAAGTCAAATTTAAAAGATTTCTATTAATCAAAAATTGATAACTTGGGAAAGTGACACACAGGCATCCTAAAAATACAAAAAGAATTTTAAATATTCTTATTTAAATTTTCAGATTGCACGAATAACTTACGGTAGCTTGAAGTGTCAAAATCAACAACAGATTAACATTTACTATCATAAAGCCAAATGTGGCACATTTATTTAATTGTTCATTACATGTAATTCTTCTACACACAAGTAACCCCACCATTCTAATAACTAATAAATTTATAAAAATTACAAAAACGGATTTACTTTCAAATTATAGATTACATTTATTACCGAGTTATTCAAATAAACAAGGTCTGTTATTCATCAATTTCTATTTTGTTCCCTTCAAAGTAATCCCCCTCAGATATAATACATTTGTGCCAGCCTTTTTCCAATCCCCGAAGCAGTAATGATATGCACGTTTTGGTATATCCTTGAGCTCTCTCAATCGTCGCCAAACGCCGTCCATTCATGGGTCTCTTTGATCTCGGGAACAGGAAATAGACGTAGTAGGCCAAATCTGGTGAATACGGTGGCTGAAGCATGACTACGGAGTTACTTTTGTCCAAAAAATTGCGAACAAGTAATGACGAGTGAGCAGGTGAATTATCGTGATGCAGAAGTCATGAATTGGTTTTCCACAATACCGGACGTTTATTACCTATTGCTTCTCGCAAGCAACGCATAACTTCAATACACTACGCCTTATTCATCGTACAACCATGCGGCAAGAACTCTTGATGCACTACGCCATGGTAATCGATGTCATAACCATATACCCATGATTCATAATCAGTTATTACCCTTTGAAGCAAATCTGAATGCGACAGCAATTTTGGAAAGAACTTTGCTGCCACATGCTTCATGACTAAAATTTTCGAAAAAATTGCATGGCATGAGCTAACCGATACATGAAAACATTTTTCGGTGTCATAGTACAATCACCGTATGCCACTGTTGATATTTTAAATGTTCTTGGGCACTTAATTCCATTTTTTACATAAAATTTGATGCAAATTGTTTGATTAATTTTTTTTTGATAGCAGAAAATCTCTAAAAATGCAAAACATTTCTAAATTTTATGTCTCTCTCCAACAAACTAAACATGCTAATCAGCTGAAACTGTGAATAATGTTCGAGATGAGTGTACCAACGTAAAAAAAATCGCTAATTGAATGTACCTAGCCTGAGAAATTTTTAACATTCACCTTATTTTTTGAACAGACCTCAATGCCGGTAATGATGAACATAAAAAATCTTTAGTTACCAATTGATTGTCATCATTCATTTCATTCATAACATTACGGCTTTATATTACTGGAGTTTTTTCCCAACACCAAATCGTTATTTTTACACCTTGACAGGTGTTTCGATCACCAAGTGATCATCTTCAAGAGGAAGATAAAAGGGTAGTAATACCTTTGGTGTAGTAATATTCATTACTACACCAAAGGTTCCAAACATTACATCATAAGTACGGCTTTATGTCACAGATGAGACAAATATACTCATATCACGATGACATTCGTACACTCATTTGATTTAATTTCGGGATTTCGGCTATAGCAATGGTGTTTGAATTGAAAGGAGCATATTTTTAGGAGAGGTTAGTTTTTGGGAAAAAGGCTTTTTGGTTTCTACTTTTGCATTTTTATACAAATGAAAGTAGAAAACTTCTGAAAGAAGGAAGAAAGCAAGTAAAGCAAAGAAGTTACTTTCAGATACAAACTGGAAAAAATCCTCCCCGAACAACTACTTTCACCTGATTGCTTTCTTTCTTCAGAAGTTTCCCACATTTTCTATATGAAGGTGGAGAAGTGGAAAGTCAAAAAGCTTTTTTCACTACTTAATTCCCATTTCAATTTATTCTTATTGTTTGAGCCTGTCACCATTTTTGCATGGTTAATGATTTTTTTTTATTATATTTTCAATTTTTTATTTATATACAGGGTGTAACTAAATAAGTGTAAAACATTTAAGGAGGTGATTCCTCATCGAAAAAAAGATAGGATCTTTCATATAAAGAAATTTCATTGGAGCATCCCTTGTTAAGATACAGCCCCTTAAAGGGGGTACATAAAATTTGTATAACAATTTTTTTCACAAGCACTAAAAAAGTTACAATATTGAAATTAACTTGACGTTTTGTACTACCAAAAAGACACTTAGCCAGAAATTTATTTGGTTTACCCCATGGTTGTAAGAGGTGGAAAACGCAACCCCTAAAATTTATTTCTAATGTAACTTTTTGTCTTATTATTTGTTTACCATTTAAAAATTCATTTCCGATAGCCTGTTTCATTCTAAACAAAAAATGTCTCTTGGGTTTTTTGCCCAAAATAAACCAGTTCTCAGCAAAAAATTATTTTACGAACAACTACAGAGATACATTGTCATAAATGCGAAAATACGAAACTAATCTATCTAGTAGGTCGCTATTAGCGATAGTAACAATTAAATTGCTATGACGCTGTCAGTTTGTGATTTTTTGAAATTGAATTAATACTAATTGTGTGTTGTTGTTCTGTTCCTAATTTGTTACTTTAATAATTCACTTTTTATTAAAATGTCATACACAAATGAGGAAATGGCTGATATGCATTACGTTTACGGTCTGTCGCAGGGGAATGGGTTAGAAGCTTCTAGAATATATGCTGAAATGTATCCTCAATGGCAGCATCCTTCACATAGAATATTTGCTCGACTTCATCAGCGATTATGAGAATATGGTTCATTCAACAAAAGAACGCAGGATTGTGGTCGCCATTGAGAAATACGAACACCATAGCTTGAGAAAGCAGTATTCAATTTGATTGAAGAACAACCTACTACCAGTACTAGAAAGATTACTTTCCAGCTAAATGTTGACCATATGACGGTATTTCGAATTTTAAAGGAACAACTCTAATACCCGAGTACAACGAGTTCAGGCACTGTTACCGTGAGACTTTCCGAACCATCTTGAATTCTGCAATTGGATGCTGGAAATGATTAGAAGAAATTGTGACTTTCTGAAGACGATAGAATTCACAGACGAATGTAGTTTTTCTCGGAACAAGATTATTAATTTTCATAATTATCATATATGGGCTGATGAAAACCCTCAGGCTATTGTCGAAACTAGTCATCAAGAACAGTTTTCTCTTAACGTGTGGCTCGGAGTTATTGCGGATGATTTAATTGGGCCTCATTTTCTACCTCCTCGATTAAATGGTGATGCATACGTTCAATTTTCAAGAGAAGTGCATCCAGTACTGCTGGAGGAAGTTCCTTTGGGCGTCAGAAGGAATATGTTTTTCATGCATGATGGGGCCCCCGCCCATTTTGGTCATGTAGCACGTCAGCATTTAACTGAAACATATGCAAATCAGTGGATAGATCGAGGAGGTCCACAGAACTGTCTCGCTCGATCCCCGGATCTCAATCCTCTCGATTTCTCTATTTGGGGCCATTTACAGCATTTGGTTTATCGTACTCCTGTTGGCGATGTAGAGGACTCAAGAAACCGCATCATCGATGCATGCAGGGTAATCAGAGAGACTCCAGGAATATTTGAGCGAATACGTGGCTCAATGCACCGACGTCTAGACGCATGCAGGGCTGTATCTTAACAAGGGATGCTCCAATGAAGTTTCTTTATATGAAAGATCCTATCTTTTTTTCGATGAGGAATCACCTCCTCAAATGTTTTAAACTTATTCAATTACACCCTGTATTATTGAGTTCTTATGTTGGTATAATGGTGGTAAATAGGAATATATTCTAGGTGTTTACTCAGGTAAGTGATATTCATTATATATTTTTGCCTTGGTATCATTGCCATGGTTTTTCTAATCAATATACATGGTGGGGCACCAAAAACGAAACAGATCGAATATCTTCAAAACACATGTGTTTTGAAAAAAAAATACAAAAACACGTCGATTTTTAATCCAAAGGGAACATTTTCCTATCAATTATGGTCCGATTTGATTCAAAATTTATAAGTGGTGGTTTTCAGGGTCGGAAATTATGAATTGTTTTTCAATGCAAAAAATCAAGATGGTGGCTCCAAAATGGCGGACGAAATTTGTAATTATGGTTCGATTTAACCCGACACCGAAAACGAATTCTTCAAAACATATGTGATGTGAACATAATGCAAAAACACCTCAATTTTAAATCCAAGCGGTACGAATCCTATCGTTACCTCAACTGTCATACTTCTCTTTCCATCCCTTGGTCACTCATACAATTTGATTATGGAAAGTACAAGTGTGACACAGCATTGAAAAGGTAATTCCATAAGGAATTCAGACATGTGAGTGTTCGCTACTTAACTTTTCATTTTGGCGCTCTATTGCAGGAAAAACAACTGTTTCGTTTTTCAATTCATATTTTATTTGAAAGGTAACAATTTACGAAAAAAGAACGACAATTGAAAACGTTACATAATCCAATCATAGCAAACTACTTTAATTCACAGTAGGTGCTCAAAGTGTTCGCCATGAACTGCCATAAATGAGTTGAAGTTATTCTCGAAACGCCGTTTGATGTTTTTGAGCATTTCTGAAGTTATTTGATGACATTCGTACCTTTGGAATAACAAT